CAAATTTTGGGCCCCAAAATTAAGGTGCGTCTTATACATGGGAACGTCTTATACATGGGGAAATACAGTAGATGTTAAGTGGGGTGAGTAGAGCTCTAGATTGAAAATTACTGGCTTCTTTATCTGCAGCAATGTCAATACAGTAGTGGGATCAGAAGTCAGATTGCATTTGGGAAGTGAATGGGAGGGGAGAAAGAAGAGGCCGTGATTCTTTCAATAAATTTGGCAATGTAAAAAAGCAAAGAGAAGGCAATAATGGAAGGACTGTGGAGGCAGGGACAAGGGCAAAGTTTTTTGTTTTTTCTTGTTTGCTTTTAAAATTGGGTAAAACTTGAGCATGTCTGCCAGCTAAGGTAAAGGAACCAATGGAGAGGGAAAGGTCTAAGACACAAGACTAAAGAATTAAGGTGATTAGGTAGGCATCCAAGATGGTGGAAATGAAAGAGCTGTAGACAGGTAGGTATACTTAAAAAGGTGAGTGACTAGGTATACTTCTGGAACTGGGTGAGAAAGGAGAAAGATATGAAGGTTGCCTAAGATATTGCAGATAAGTGTAGCAATGGGGGCAGGAAAGTTGAGAGTCTATACCACACATCACTTGTTTTGCAGTGGAGTACCAATTTAATTGTCTGCTTGGAATGGATGTTCAGGAATGGGGTAACAAGCCCCAGCAATCACTAAGGTAAATGCAGCAAATCTCATGAGTAAAGATACCTGCTATAAATGAATCCTACCAGTTTTTGCCATCAGACCTTCACCTTGGTATGAAAACTGGAGCCTCAAACTGAATCAGATTAGAATTAAGGTCAAAAAGGAGGATTGAGTCAGATCTCTCCTGAACAGAAATCATATAAGGTCTGGGGTAAAGTGAGAATGTCCACAAAGTGTTTACTTCTGACTCCGAGTATTCCCCTACTAGATTTAAAAGTGGCCTTACAAGAATGGAAGTGGTCCACCTAGAATTCTTGGGGAAGGACAGTTTCAAGTCAGCAACACCCAGAATAATGGCCTTATCAAGCACTTAAAATATATTAAATACCACTGAAAGATAAAAACAAAGAATTCCTACTCTCTGTGAACTGCACATTATGTTATTAAGAGGCATAGGGTCTGAAATGTGTCTATATGTCCAAGGAGGCCTAACAAAGTGCACAAGAGCATACACAGCCAGGGCTCATGCTTGCTTGAAATAGAAAAGGCAATATGGACAGAGCCTGCCACATTCCCTGCCTTGTCTTTTATCCCATAAATGTGGCATGTATTCAAATATGCACATTTATTCTCAAACCCTGGAGTGGGCCAGATCCTGAGTCTTATACAACTGCTCCATAGATATGGAATGAAATAGAAGAGGGTGTAGCTTCTCGTTCAACTCCAGGAAACCACAAAGGAGGGAACTCCAGGTTCTATTGTCTTAGTCTAGGTATGTCAGAATCAAATTTCCTGGGTGCTCTATATTTTCTACTTTAGTACTACAATGGGTTTAGCAAAATTGATCCTACACTATTATTCTTGTGCTTTTCTCGTAAAAGAAATATCTGCACTACTACGAGTCAAAGTAGCTGTATAACAACCCAAGAGTGCATTATATTAGGCTGAGATACAAGATATAAAGATATAGAGGATTTGATCTTGTATAAAAAGCTATGACAGCAAAAACCTAAAAGATGTGTAAAATGGTTTTATGACAATTATGTCATAAAAAATAACATTGATGTATTAAAAACAATGCCTATACTAACAATAGTTGAATTAACATTAAGGAATGCAAAAATAATGAGTGATTATTTTGGATTTAGAATATTTATCAATTTCAGGAAAACGAACTATTTTTCATCTTTAGAACCTGCCCTTTCCATGAACAACTCAGTAGCAAAGATAAAACATCTGCCAAAATACATATGACAGCATGAGCAAATGTCCTAAATGGTAGGCATTTAGTACAATGGTTTAACACACTTCCTCTAGACTACTGGGGCAGCCCCATAAATAAGTGCTTTTAAATAGGCATTTACTTCCTTAAAATGGCAACTTGTGTTTAAAAGTAATACGCTGTTTAGGAGAAAAGAAAATATTTCTGTTTAACCAAGCCAAATTACTACTAGACTTAGACAATAAAAATGTATTTTAATCACATGTACCCTTGGCTTTTAAACCTCACTTTGAACAAAGAAAAATAATCCAAACACTGCAAAGACAGTTCACAGACCCTCATTATTTAAGATTTTATTTACCAATTTGTGAATACCACTGAAACTGTTGATGTGCTTTTAAACAAAGCATAATTGGACATATGGGGCAAGGGGAAGGAAAGTAGCATAGTAATTCATTCTGCATCTTGTAAACCAATACAGGGGGTTGCAGTTTGCCTGTAATTACACGGAAAGGGCCTTTTAGATAACTTATTTTACTATAAAGGTAAACTGTAGTGGCTACCAGGAAATGGCCTCTGATGGATAGGGTAGGTAGCTAGAAATGAGGAGGAGAAGAAGAGACCTAGCCCGGGTTAGAAAGCCTCTTGTTGCAGCTCCTACTGGGATCAAGACCACTTGCAGCTGCCCTCACTTAGGGCACCAATGCCTTATTAGCCCAGCAGGATTCCAGACTCACACATGCCCCTAAATCAAAGAGATGTGTTGTTAGAAGCCAGAGAAGGAAAGAAGACATCCCCCTTATCAGAATATACATCCTGCCTATCAGGACCATTTTAGTGAGTTTCTCCAACAAATCACAAAAAGAAAATTGACAGAAACTACATTGAAAACCAAAAGGGAGGACTGAGCATCTCAGCAGGAGAGAAAGAGAGAAGAAGAAGGGAGAGGAGAGGCAATTCTACCCATAGACATAAAAGCCTTCATACAATGTAAAGAGAGGCCTTTCCCCTCCTAGGATTGGTCCGCTCCACATCTTGGGAGTGTAGCTGCCATTACTAATAAACTTCTTACTATCCTATATTTGCACAAAACTCTGTCTCTCGACTGAATTCTTTCCCTCCAGAAGTCAAGAATCGAGGAAAAATGATCACAGCCCAGTAACACCATTGCCAGTCATTTATAAATGAAACTGAAAGCAAAATCTACATTCAAGCAGAACTAAACCTACAAATCCATGGACTTTCTTACTCATTCTAGATTCTTAATTCAGTCTCCCAAATACCTTGGTTTATTACTACCTGTGTTCTGAGACTGTTAGCATCTCTTCATACCTGTCCTTTTAAAACGACAATTGTCGTTTTTAAACTAACACTCTCTCCCTCTCTCTCCATGATATATTATGACAAATGCTATCACTTCCTGGTTTATATTCAAAACATAACAGAATTCAAATGCATAACGCCTCTATTTTGTTTTTTTTTTAAGGTTATTATTAACTAAGTACAAAACACCATAAATTCTGAATCTAGGACTCTATGGACTTGAGTCCATTAATATTGCATGTAAATAAGTGTTAGTTATACATGATCTTAACTATTACTAAAGGAGGCCTAACAGAATTCCAAAAGTACCATACTAGGGGTTCTTTCTAATATACTTGAAAATAGGACCCCATTTTTACAGTGTTTATCCTTCAGACTAGCTTTGATGCCTACAGTCTAAATTAGTGATATTTTATAACAAACTTATAATCTGGTTCAATATGCTTTCTGATCCTACAACAGGTTTCTGAAAGCAGTATTATTTTAGCTATAACAACAGTAATGTCAACAAGCCATTAATGACAGGAAACACTACTTTGTCGCCTAATATTAACCCTTTAGATAACATAGTGATTACAGCTCCAACATCCCAGAACATTCAGAGTGGGGAAAGTGGTAAGCAGGGTCTCAAAGACATCTTGAAAATAACTGAAGTCATAAGCCTTTATGAACGAACGGCACAGTGTGACTAATAACCAGTTTAAAATCTAATTAATTTAGCCTTCTAGAATTAAATACAACAATTGCTTGTTACTATTACTCAAACTCAATTCTGAATCTTAACAAGAAGTTCACAAAAGGCTCTATTGATGTGAAGTGTGACAAACACTGAATATAGAGTCACGAAAATTCTTATTCCTTCCTCAGTTCTTAACGAAGCACACGTTTTTAAACAGCGAAATGGGTTCCAAAAGCTTGGGGGCCAAAACGCCTTTGGCGTGGAAAAACACCAAATCCCACTCAGCTGCAAATGTTTTGACTAGAGGTTATTGTTTCATATTTCAAGCAAAATCTGTATTACTTTAAAAACGGTTCCCCCAAATAAAGTGGGGAAACGTGAACGTACAATTTGGACTATATTAAAAGTGGCTGATGGGGCGCGGGGATAGCGAGAGTTTCCAGGAAGCGTATTTCTAGGGTTTAATTGAAAAAGAAAGAAAAAGAAAAAAAAAAAAAAGGCAGCCAGTACATTCTTCTGATTAAATGGTGGGTTGGGAATAAAACTTAATTGTGTTCCTTATGTCCCCTTAACTCCCATGCTCACGTGGGAGGGCGAACAGGAGAAACCCCCTTCTTGCAGACTTCGCCAAAATGCACCCTTCCATCGCAGGAGGCCCAGGCCCTCCCACTCTCCCTCCTTCATCCTAACTGCGTATAAGCACTGAGGCGGAAGAGGGGTGCGAAAGAGGGTGGGGGGGGACCCTAAAAGCTGCCACCCACTCGCTTCCGATCGCGCCTTTTCTCTCTACAGTTGATTTCTGAGCAAGGTGAACGGTTTGAAGTCTTTGTCGGGGTATGCATCTGGAGGCGGAGAACAGGGGAAGGAGATGAGCCCCGCTTCCATCCAGGGGGGGAAGAGGGAAAGGAGGGAAAGAAAGAAAAGGACGGGGGTGCCTGATTACCCGCGGGGCCCTCCCACGTTCACACCCGGGCGTGCACTGCCCGCGCCTCGCGCGCCCCGGCCACCCTCTCTAGGGCGCCGCGGGGCCAGCCTGGGCGCAGCCCACACGCCCGCGGGGGCGCCGCGGAGGCGGTGAACCGCAGAGGCTGTGAGCCGCAGAACCTGGGGCGAGGGACCACTCACCGCAGTACGCTAAGTTCAGCAGCTGCAGCACCACCAGGGGCCACATCTCCGCGCCCGCCACGGGGTCGCCGCCGCCGCCGCTGCTGCTGCTGCCTTGCCGCCGCCGCCGCCACCGCCGCCCGTGTCTGGAGCAGCCGCCGCTGTCACAATCAGGACCGCGCGCCGCCGCTGGTCACAAGCAGGACCCACCGCCCAGGCTCCTTGGCTGCGCGCGCGCGCCCCGGTGCCTCCACGCCCGCTCCCCCGCCCGCGCAAGCCGCGCACGCGCACGCGCACTCGCCCCCGCCCCGCCGCGGTGGCTGCTGACGCGGGTCCTCCCAACTCGCCGACTCGAGTCCACGCCCCCGCCCCGGCTCCGCCGAGACCCAGAGACCGCTCCCGGGAGGTGGCGCGGGCCAGGCTTCCTGGGCACGCCCCGCCGCCTGCCATGGGAGGCTGAGCATGTGTTCCCACGCGCTACGGAGACATCATTGCACCCGCCTCTGTCCGCGGCCCCCTTTCTTTTTCTCGCACCGCCCTGGGCCCCACTGTCCTCCCTCCACTGTCCTCTCCTGGCTTTCGCTCCCACCGTCACGCTTCCGGAACTGGGCCGGGCGCTGTTCGCCCGGACCTCGGTGCCGTGGCCCAGCCTGAGCCCCTGATCGCTCTCCTGGAGTTGGAGGTCTGCCGCGCGCGTCGACCCCGATGTATCCTCGCCTCTCACCTCTACGCGGTTCCCCCTGAACTCCGCCGCCTGTCCCAGAGGCGCACCGCGCGTGGGGGCGTCTCTGCACTTCCTACGCGGTCAGCGAGCAGGAGGGCGCCACGCCGAGGGCAGGCGATGGCTGGTCTCTGTCCGCAGGGAGCTTCCACTCGCGGGTGGAAGGCTCCCGCGTTCTGCTGCTTTCATCCGCCCCCACCTGCTTTTGCTTCCCCTGCAGTTCTCATCTTTCTCCCCTTGTTTTAGTGTTTTCATCCATTGCACAGAGTTACTCAAACAAGTTCCACCCGATGTGGTAAACATTTAAAGACATGGTTAACGCTGAAACCCCAGGGGCGATCAGGCGTGGTCACAAACGTTAGCTGACATTCAAGACATCCCTTCCACCAACGCCTTTCAGCCTGATTTGTGACAGCGCCACGGGCAGCCAGCCACTGCGCTGTTTGGCTTTAGCATGCTTGAAAAATGGGTTCAAAATGTGGCTGCAAGCCGCAATATGAACAAGAACAAGGCCTTTGAATATCTCACCGAATCACAGAGCCCACATCATTCAAACCGAAGCAAAAGCTCCCTTTAAAACTACCTGTAACGTTTATCCCAAATGATGAACTGTCTTGTCACAAAGTCAGGCTCTGGTGGCTACTCTAATGGGCTGCATAACCTGTCCTCTCCTTAGGTTGTTTTTCTCTTACCTGCTGGAAAAGAAAGCAATTTCCCGCTACAATATCCCACTTCTCCAAATCCTCTACTGATGGTATCTCCTCCATTGCATCCCTGCCCCATAGTAATAAAATCCAGGAAATAAAATTGTCACTCTCTGACACTCTGCAGCAGCGTATTTTATTTATATATATACTACGTAACTTTTCCTTACATTTTTTTTTCTTTTTTTGGTGTGTACCTCTTCCCCACAGCACATCAATTTTTAAAACCAGAGAGAGTATTTTAAGTATTCCTTCCTCTAAGACTTCCTGTTGAACCGGGCAAACAGAAGAGGTTTAATTCAAGTGTTGATGTGACTTGAGGCAAGCATTGCTCCCCTGAAATTTGATTGTTTTTAATGGTTAAAAAAAAGAAAGACAAGCAGGTATCTCGCTAAAACAATGGTTAATAATTATGGTAGAAATGATTTGAATGGCAGCTTTGACATCCTGAGGCTACCAAAGGGGCTGATAGATTTTCCTCCAACGGCTGCTTATATGGATACAAAAGAATCGTCCACCAGACTTTGAGCATTTGGGACACTGTGTATCACAGAGCAGCTGGTTGGCTAAATAAGGCTGTCAGCTGTCCCTGAGACCAACCGACACCCCGAAAGTTAAAGAGTGACAGGGAAGGGCTGTCCCCAACCTTCAGAGGTAGACTTCGAGTGATGCTCTATCTTATACTGGGAGCTACTGGGGCTATGTACTTAATGTAGATTTGTATGAAAAATAGAATAGGTTTAAGTCCTGTGAATAAGAACCCTCCTGGGTGACCACCCCTGCTCTTTGAAATCTAGCTGGGATGTGTTGATGGTGGGACAGGAGAGAGAATCCAAAGCAAGCTGCCTAGGTTTGATTATCTTCTTTCTGAGGTAACCTTGGGCTACTTTCTCAAGTATCTAACTACTTTCCATTTGTGTTTCCGTTTTAACGTTTCCAAGCATTCTTATGTGGACTATGAGCTCATCTTATCTTTATGTAAGGGGTTTCTTGGGTGGAAGGTGACAGAGTAATGCATAGTAGAATGTTTTAAACAGAGGTAGTACACATTTGATTTATTACCTAGATTAGTCTTCATAACAGCTTTGGAATGGGTATTATGGTCTCCATTTTAACAATGAGGAAACAAAGGGAAGGGGATAGTGAGCACTTTACTCACGGTTATATGTGATACTTCTCTCTCTCTCCATCTCTATTGTTTATGTCCTCTTTCCCCTACTTTTTTTCACTCTATAACATCTAATTATCTCTTTCATTACGTTTTGTTTATGCTGCTAATAAAGTGTATCTATAGATTTCTTTGTACATGCCTCTCTCCTTTTTTATTGTGTTAAGTAGGAAAAAATGAAATTTTTCCCGGGTACATTTGTATTTCCAGGGTCTGGCACAGTACCTGTTTGAGACCTAAGGCTCTGTGTGTGTTGAATCAACCAAGAAAATCAGTGCAATATGTAGGATACAGAAACACTTTAGCCTAGGTTTGAGTTGGAGCTCCAGCCATGTACTATTGGTTAGCTTTGGACAAGTTACTTAACTTTTCTGAGCCCTCATGTCCTCGTTTGTAAAGCTCGATGATAAAAATAATAGAAGTTATTAACCCTTTTAAATTGCCTTGAGAATTTAATGTTAACACTTTCATAGCTACACAGAGCAGTGCTTGGTGCACAGTAAACACACAATCAATATTAGCTCTTATTATTGCAATCTTCTTACAGTGAGATGATGAGTGTCCTAGAAGGACAGTGGAAATTATTATCTAAAGGATCACCAGTTGCTGGCCTGAAGCCTTGAAGAAGCACTGAATTGGCAAGTGTCTAGAGTTTTTTTGTTTTTGTTTTTGTTTTTGTTGTTTTAGTAAAACTTTATTGGGGAACAATGTGTTTTCTCCAGGACCAATCAGCTCCAAGTCAAGTTGTTGCCTTTCAAGCTTAGTTGTGGAAGGTGCAGCTCAGCTCAAAGTTCAGTCACCATTTTCAATCTAGTTGCGGGGTGCGTAGACCACCATCCCATGCGGGAGTTCCTAACAGCACGCACTCTAACCAACTGAGCCATCTGGCCGCCCACCGGCAGCTCAGTTGCAGCTCAGCTCAAGTTGTTGTCTTCAATCTAGTTGCAGAGGGCACAGCTTACTGACCCAAGTAGGAATCAAACCAGCAACCCTATTGCTCAGAGCACATGCTCTAACCAACTGAGCCACCCAGCTGCCCCAAGTGTCTACAATTTTTATTCAAGCTAGAGGTACAAGTCTGTGCCCAGTGGGTAGCCCTTAATCCTTGTGGTCTCCTGCACATTTTGTTGGTGATTGAACACAAAGGGACCCACATCTCTGACACCTGGCTCAGGTCCCGGTGTCCTAGGGTGTTATTTCAACTTGAACCAGTTATGAGAGCATAATTGTCCCAGTCATCAAATCAAGCAGTGTAGCAATGAGGGTCTGTGCTCAGTGTGCAAGGACTGGGTTTAGATGGCTAGGCAGCTGGAAGATATTGATGTGCAATTAGATGGATTTGGCTGAGGGAAACAGAAGGAAGCTCCAGCAGCAGGAAATGATCTTCTTCCTAGCTTGTGCTTCAATTATGGACAAATATTAGAAATAGAAACTGCCTCCAGGTAGGAGGATGGTGGGACTGAGGGTTTCAGGTAGAGGATATCCTACCAGAGAGATGACAGTCTGATCTGTCATAAATTTTCTTCTGGATGTCTGATGTGCATAGGCTACTTTTGCCTGGGGTCAGGGAGGAGCATGGCATTTTTTGGTCCTCCTCCTGCTGCTGTTGCTGGTAGGGGGCCCATACTCATGACAGCTGGAAAGCACTAGGAAAGCCAGCTTCTAGGTGAGTTGTAAAATCACAGCAGAATTATTTCTTTGAGAGCACTTAATGAATGTTTGGGGTCCTGGGAAGGCCTTTTTGTACCTTCCTTAACTCTCTTCTTTGAGGACAGATAACATACATGTAGTGGGTACATATTATGCACCAAGACCTTACCATGCTTGCATATTTATTTTCTATTGCTGCCAGAAAAAATTACCACAAATTGAGGGCCTTCGAACAACACCCATTTATTATCTCACAGTTCTGTAGGTCAGAAGTCCAGTGGTTTCTTTCTCAGCTTCTGATCTCCTGGGGCCAAAATCAAAGTATTGGCTGGGTTGCTTTCGCTTCTGAAAGCTATAAGAGGAGAATCCCTTTTCAGGTTCCATCAGGTGGTTGGCAGAATTCAGTGTCTGTGGGACTGAGGTGCCCATTACCCTGCTGGCTGCCATCTTGGTGGTGGTTAGCATCAGGAGGCCTGCTTTGGATCATTGTATTTAGTTGCGTGTAGTCTCCGAGCATCTTGGAACTAGCAATGGGTACATAAAGCCTTCTCTTGTTTACAATGTCTCTTCTGCCTCTTCTTCTGCCACATTTCTGTGACTGACTCCTCTGCTTTCCCTTTTACTTTTGAGTAAGCAATTGATTAGATTATATCCCTCACGTAATCCGGGATAATCTCCCTATATGAAGGTCTGCAACCTTAATCACATCCACAAAGTCTCTTTTGCCATATAAAGTAATGTATTCAAAGATTCCCAGGGTTGGGGCTTGGAAATCTTTTTTTTTAAAGATTTTATTAGGGAATTGGGGGAGGGGAACAGCGCTGGAGAATCGGGGGAAGGGGAATAGACAAGTTGCTATCCTTTTGTTCTTCAGTCTAGTTGTGGAGGACGTTGCTTCACTGGCCCAAGTTGGCACCATCATTG